AATACATATTACTAAAGACAAGTAATTGAAAAAAATACTAGATAATTGAATAAATAAAAAAAAATAATAAAGTAAAATAATGGGAGAGGATAAAAAGATTGACGACATACTTTAAAATAATGAAAAAAAAAAAATAAAAATGTTAAACAGTTACAAAAATTAAATATTACTAAAGATAAGTAATTTAAAAAAAATACGTAGAACTATTAAATAATAAATAAGAGAACAAACTCTGTATAAGAGCAACTGAGAGAAAATTCTTTAAAAAAATTGTTTACATAATTTTCTACTTTTATTTTTAGAAACTGGTACGCACTTACCTCGACTATTAATTTTAATATGTGTTGTTGGCGATAGAGATTTATTGTCTGCGTCGTCCTTTATGAATTTTTTCGTGGGTGGAGGCGGAGATTCCCGTTCGGATTCCCTCTTGACGAGGGGTGGGTGAGGCGATGATTGCAACTGGTTCGTTTCCGAGAGATTCAAGGCTTCCTTCTGAGGTTCATGAACAACCTGATGGTTATTATTATACAAGTTCCACAGCGTCATTCGTGACATTTCCAAGGGGTTGAGGGGTGACGTTGCACTTGGTGGTGACATGTCTCCTTGTCTTGGAGGCGTGGATGCGGAATTTCGCATTTCTTTGTTTAATAGTTTAACGTATTCCATCATCCTAGCTTCGAACTCACTTGGAGCAAGACCAGGGATGGGTCCGCCATTTAAGGGTTGACTCATGGGCTGAGGGTGGCTTGGGTGATGTGCTCCGTTGTGCAAACTAACACCCCCACTCATTACCGAGTTCATACGGGCTGCGAATTGTTGTTGTTGAGACACGAGGGTAAGGGGTGACATTTGGGTGGAAGGAATGGGTGACCTTTGGACGTTGTCGTATTGACCGTAACTACTTCGTCTGCCCTCCCTTCGGTTACCATCTATCGCTGCTTGTAATTCCGCGGGGGTGCTTAACCGCCTTTTTTCACATTCGTATGGGTACAAGTACTTCATATACCTGAAACAAAAAGAAATAGAAATTTTAATGCTGCCTGTATGTTAGAGAATCACTGACAGGTATGTACGAATTTATATTAAGAAGAGTGCGGGACAACTGGTCACACGGCTCAAGAACGCATGACTAACTGACTAATAAAGCGTTTATATTTTCCGATTTTCATTTAGCCGTTAATATTTTAGAAGGTGTCCTACCAACCTATCTCTATTTCTTATTGGCTACCATATAATGATCTTCGTTTTACTTTTTCTTTTCTACCTAAAATTGAAACATTCTTTTGAGTATTTAATTTACCCCTTTTTTAATTAGTACCTAAGATTTATGTATCCCAACAATCAAGTTTGTATAAGTCCCTTTCTGTTTCTGAAAAGAGACTGTAACAGACGGACAGAATGTTTTATAAGAGTACCGTTTTCTACTTCTGAGGTATGGAACCCTAAATTTTTTCTTTTATTAAGCGTGCTTTTCTCTGAAGAAACTAAAAAAGCGATACAAAATTCTTTTGTACTGCGAAAAACTCGAAAGTAGTTAAGAAGTCCGAGTTAGGGAAAATTCGAGTTAAGCGAAATTTTCACTTTACCGTCAAAAAAACAATTTTTTAGCTACTTTCCCTAAGATTGAGTGCCGTAGTGAAAATTTACTGTGGTATAGTTCTGCTTAAAAACACGAGTCGTTAATTATTTATCAATGCGGCTGATATTTCTGAAGAAAATTAACAGAAATTTGAATTAAAAGTACAATTTATTATGTACGTTGTACGTAAAACCCGCACTCGAATTTAGAGTAAGACAAAAATTCAAGTTAGAGAAATGGAGAATTCTAGTTAACAAAAAGGAAACAAAAAAATATTTCAGTTAAAAAGGATTTCGAGTTACACGGATGCTCGACTGTATATTACACACTAAAATAATTAATATTTGTGTAATGTACAATCAAGAATGGAAATACGTTCTAGATTTAAAAAAAGTTCTCAAAAAAACCATTTGTACTAGAATAAAGACGTAAAGTTTATTTTTATTTAAAGAAACAACAGCACACTAATGGATTTAGGGTATTTTTATTGGCCGGCTATGTCATAATCCAATTATGATGAGTTCAACGAGTCAGTGATTCATACTTTTGAAACGCGATTAGATGCTAAAATAAAATTTTAGATTTTTAGTTTCGATTACACACACAAATATCGTAACATTAACAAAGGCAGAAAAAATTATACTATTTTTTATTTATTATTTTCTTATTTTATTAAATTTTTAAATTTTAATCAAATGTTTGGATTAATAATATAAAAACTATACATTTCTATTCCTTATTTCAACCGGCCCAACTAATGTTTTTGATGCTAAATTAAATTTTAGAATTGGCAGTTGTAAATCGATGGATTGAGTCTTCCCTGTGTCTATCAAAATACTTTTGGCTACATTTATAAATTGACTCAAAAGAACGCATTAGATATACCGACTGATTTATTTATTTACGAAGAATAATCATGACGAGATCTAGATATAAAGATATCTCAACTGATGTATTTGTTATCGAACATAAAATTAATGTATGCTTGTGATTGTGACAACTGTCTTAAATACAAGGATTACACTAGACTGCATTACGTTATCAATAATAATCAAAACTACGTAAGTCATCATTCATCAAATATGTTGCTGAACAAATGTTTACGTATGTGAAGGTAACGTATCAAAAACTTTTCTTTTCTTTAATCCGCCTGTTTAAAGCAAATCGATTTTTGGTTCACAATTTTCGAAGATAAATAGAAGTAAAGATTATTTTCTAACTAAGTTGCAATAGTACTTAATTTAATTAAATTAAATCTTTATTATTATTATTATTTCCTAGTTTTAGCGAAATGCGAAGTTTAGCTCAGGATAGGAAAGAGTGGAGGTACGTGTCCAACCAGTCTTAGGACTGACGACCTTATGATGATGATGATGATGATATGTGTATATTTATACTACAGGGAAATTAAAAGATTGGACTAGACAAGTAAATTCGTAAAAAATTTCAAATGTCTGTCTTTATACTAGCAAGATAAAGACCGAACGAACAAGACCAAGACTAAAGACATCATTTTACTTGTCCTGTATTTATTCAAAAATCGTTTGTGTTGCCGGTAAGGGAGACGGTAGGTAAGAAAGAAAAAAAGATGTTGAATCAGTTTATAACTGAACCAGAGCCCCCATAAGGATACCTTCGAACACATTCGCATATGTACGATTGTAACAATTTTATGTTTCTGATTGTTTAAAAGTGTCGGTTCCGGATAATCGGGTACTCGGCATTAACTGTGCGTTAATGGTTCATGTTTTCGTTTTGGTGGGCTTTCTAGTAAATACCACCCTCATCAACAATAGTACAAAGTAGGACAAACGACCTATTCCAGTACAATCATAATAGGGATGCTCGACGCAATTATCCGGTACACGGCCGGATTCTAAAAAAGTGATGGATCCGCCGAGTACCGGACCCAAACCAGGTACCCAGCCCATCTCTAGTCAAAAGTTGAGGTTAATTCATTTCCGGTGTGCCAATTTCAGGATGGAAAATGGTACCGAGCCTATTCGCATATTCTGGATTATAAATTATACGCATATCAATTAAAAATATAATAAAACGGTGCAGGGCCCCTTGTTACTAGATAATAATATAAAGGAATTGAAAATATGGCTTGGGTGATG